TTTTTTTTTTTTTTTTTTTTTTTTTTTTTTTTGTACCTGGGATTGAACTCCGGACCTTGTGCCACTGAGCTAAGTCCCCGCCCAGGTGACTGTTAGCTAAAAAGAGCTGAAAACCAGGACCAGATCAGGACCATAAGAAGTCTTTATTATGGGGAGGGTCTGCCAGGATGCCTGTGAACAAAGGAGAGAAAGTGATATGGCCGAGATGGGGAGTAGGGCATTTTATAGGGCTGGGGTGGGGCTTATGGGAGCTGGGGTGGGATTGAGTGATGTGGTGGCTGGGGATTGGGGGAGCTTGTGACATCACTAGGAGGGACTTGTGCCGCCGTCACTAGTGAGGGCCATTTTAAGGCGCGGGGAAATCTTAACAGTGACCTTCATTTTAAGTCATCTACAACCAAAAATTGATTTTGCCCATAAACTGACACACTTCCAACATTTCTGGTTAATAATCACATAAAAACAGATTGCATTCCTGGTAATAAAAAATGAAATACCTAAGAATTCATATCCTGAGAGATACATACAATGTAAAGACAGCTTCAAAGTGTTATTGGAAGGTATGAAAGATTTTAATAAGTCAAAACCTAAACAGTGTTGAGTAAGAGGACACAAAATAGTAAAGATAACAGCTCTCTCCAAGTTTATTTATTTTATTTTTATTTTATAGGTACAATTTAGGTATACATATCATATTCATCATAGTTTGCTCCTGTACATGATATACCTTGATTCCTTTTTTTCCGCCATTCCTCTCCTCTCCCTTCAAGCCCCTCTTCCCCTCCTTATTTACAGAATCCCCATTTCCATTTCCATTTTTTCTTCTTTTCTCATTTTTTTCCTTCTTTCCTTTCCACCTCTCCTCTCTAGTTTCCCCTTCCTTTTGAACAATGTTTTCTTATTTCACATTATCTATTATACATTTTGGTTCCTATTTACACTTTCAGTGTCTTACAGCAGAGAGACAAATGTGGTATTTACATATATCTGTTCAATTTGTTTCACTTAGGAGTATAGCTTCAAGGTACATCCATTTAGCTATGTCTCAAGTTTATCCTTCTTTATGGCTGAGTAATATTCCATTGTATAGGAAAATTGCATCTTTTTATCTATTCATCAGTTGATGGGCATTTGGGCTGTTTCTAAGACTTAGCTATTACAAACTGTGTTGCTATAAACATGGGTGTGCATAGACTGCTGTGGTATAATACTTTTAATTCTTTTGGGTAGATTCCAAAAAAAAGGAATAGCTGGGTCAAACAGCACTTCTAGTCCTAGTTTTTTGAGGAATCTCCATACTGATTTCCATAGTGGTTGCCCCAGTCTACACTTCCACCAACAGTGAAAAAGAGTTCTTTTTCCCCTATATCCCTATCAGCATTTGTTGTTGGTTGATTCCTCAGTATTAGCCATTTTTTCTGGAGTAAGATGGTATCTCAGTGTTGTTTTAATTTGCATTTCTCAAATGACCTGTGATGCTGAGCATTTTTTCATATATTTGTTTGCCATTTATACTCCTTCACTTGAGAAGTGTCCATTTCAGATGCCCACTTTTAGATTGAGTCTTTAAATTTTGATGGTCTGATTTTTTTCTATTCTTTGTGTGTTCTAGATATTAGTCCTTTGTCTGAGAGACTACTTGCTGGATTTTTTTTTCCCCACTCTGTGGGTTGTTTCTTCACTTTGTTGGTGATTTCTTTTGTAGTGCAAAAGCTTCGTGTGTGTGTGTGTGTGCGTGTGTGTGTGTGAGTGGTACTGGGGATCAAACTCTGGACCTTGTGCTTACAAGGCAGGCGTGGTGCCACTGAGCTAAATCCCTAGCCAAAAGCATTTTAATAGGATAAGATCCCAGTTGTCAATTTTTTGTATTATCTCCTGTGCAATCTAGGTTTTATTCATGAAGTCATTGCTAGTAGATTTAGTGTTTCTGCTTTAATATTTAGATCTTTGATCCATTTTTATTTTAGTTTAGTGCACGGTAAGAGACATGGGTCTAGTTTTAGTCTTTGTCATGTAGAAAGCCAGTTTTTCCAGCACCACTTATTGAAGAGGCTGTCTTTCTTCCAGTGAACATGTTTGGGCCCTTCATCAGAGATAAGGTGGCTGAGTGTGTTCAGGGTTATTTCCATATCTTCTAGTCTGTTCCATTGATCCTTGGGGCTATTTTTCTGCCAGTACTACACTGTTTTTATCACAGTTGCTCTGTATAATTCAAGTCAGGTGTTGTCATGCCCACTGACTTCCCCTGGTTGCCCAGATTTGCCTTTGTTATTATAGGTCTCTTCTAAAATTCCAAATGAATTTTAGGGTTGTTTTCTTTAATTCCAAAAGATATACTTCTGGGATTTTGATTGGGATTGCATTAAATGTATTTAATAATTTAGAAAGTATGGCCATTTCCACTGTATTGGTTCTTTCTAAAGAATATGGGCAGCTTCACGAATTTGTGCATCTTCTTTGCACAGGTGCCATGCTAACCTTCTTGCATCTTTCCAATTTTAGTACATATGCTGCTAAAGTGAGCACTCCCCAAGTTAATTTGTGAACAATTCAATGCCAATCAAAGTGCCTACAGGATTGCGTTTTGGTTTTGTTTCTGTTATCACTCAATAGAAAATAGAGAGGCTATATCATATGTTTTAATTCATTCAATCATTTCTTCATTTTATTCACTTTTGTATTTTAGCCAATTTCATTTCTACAGCCTCATTGGGATATATTTTATATAACATGAAACTCACCTGTTAAAGTACAAATTAGTGGGGTTTTTTTTCATATATTTAGAATTGTGTGACATTATCACTAACTTCTCAAGATTCAGGGGAAAAAAAACACCTCATACCCATTAGCAATCATTCACCTTTCCCACTCCAGCCATAGGCAACTATTAATCTACTTTATGTCTTCTTAAATTTGTCTATTCTGGACATTTTATATACAGGGAATCATAAAATATCCTCTGGACTTCAGTGACTGATTTCTTTCGTTTAGCATAAGGTTTTCAAGTTTTCTGAAGGAAAGAATTTAACCTTACTCAAACAGAGATATGGCCTTTGATGTTGGCTTCTGAGAAGTAATCTCCCAAACTCTTGAATTGTCATACCAATTAAGAGTCTCTCTGTTTCCAGGAGAATTTCCTTCTTTAAACTTTTTTTTTTTTTTTTAGTCGGGGTGATGCTGGGTGGTACAGGGTCTCCAGAGTGCTAGGCGAGCTCTACCAATGAGCTATGAACCTAAGCCCTTTTCACTCTTTATTTTAATTTTATTTTATTAGTACATGCCTTTTCCATTTTCTTGATGGTGGTTGTTGTTTTGTTTTGTTTGGCTACTGGGGATCGAACGCAGGACCTTGTGCTTGCAAGGCAGTGCAGTGCCACTGAGCTAAATCCCCAGGGCTTAATAGTGTTTTTCAAAGCACAAAATTTTACATTTTGATTTATTTTTTCCTTTGTTGCCTATGCTTTTGGTGTCCTATATAAGAATCCTTTCCCAAATCCAAGATATTGAAGATGTACCCCTCTGTTTTCTTCTAAGGGTTTTATAGATTTAGTTTTTATATTTAGGTCTTTCTTATTTAGGTTTGTTGTATTATTTTGTTTTGTGTTTATATTCTTGTTTTTTATAATACAGAGAATTTTATCCAGAGCCTTTGCATTAAGCTACATCCCCCCGCCCTTTTTTTTTGAGAGAGGCATTCTCTAAGTCATTAAGTAGACTAGGTTGGTCTCAAACTTGTAATCCTCCTGCCTCATCCTCCCAGAGAACTGAAATAATAGGTGTCCCCACCATGCCAGCTTCCTTACTCTCTTTTTCTTCTATTTTTCTTTCTTTGTTTCTACAGTTTCTAACTTTGTTCTTTTAAGCATTAGTAATTTCAGCATTAGTGATTATGATATTTATACCTTACTTTTAAACAGTTTTTGCCTCTTATTTTTCTTCCTTGATATGTAGTTGAAGTCATTTATACCTTAATTAGAGAATCCTTTTTGTTGTAGGAGTAAGGTTGTGATCCTTAATCACAAATCACCTTAACTGGATTGAGAAACACACCAGGGATTAGTAACGCCCACTTCTGGGTGTGTCTGAGTGGGTCATGGGGGCACGACTTTGGGTACCACATATGGTCTCTGACTTCTTCCCCTCTGGCATTATCTCTCTACTCTGCTTCCTAACTGCCCTGAACTAAGCTTTGCTCTGCAATGCTTTTCTGCCATGATATTCCTGCCTTGGAGCCAGATGATCATGGCCTGAATCTCTTGAAACCACGAGCCAATTAAATATCTCCTCCTTTAAGTTGTGGGTGTCAGGCATTGTGTCTTAGTGAGGAAAGGTAAGACAAAGTTTTGTTTTGTTTTTTTAATTTTTAAAATTTTTGGTACTGGTGATCAAACTTGGGTCCTCCCGCTTGCGAGGCAGGTGGCAGAACCACTGAGCTAAATCCCCAGCCCCCAAAAGGTTTATTTTTAAATCAACTCTTCTTAGAGATATTTTTAAATGTGACTGCAAATTAGCAAAATCAACCAATGCAATTATACACAATTTATCTGCAACTTTAAAAGAACTTTTGAACGTTTTAATAATGGATAGTTTGTTTTTGTTTTACTGCCTTAGTCACTAGGGTTTCTAAAACATTATCATTTAGTTTGAATTTAGCAGGACTTTGTACAGATTGCCTTAAACTGCTTCTTTCTGAGGAATTAGCTCCTATTATAGTAATTGTATTAGGGACTACAAGAAGTACAAGGAAGAGACTTGCGGAGTAGTGTGTAGAGAAAAGAGAGCATGTTGAGCAATTTTATGTTTCAACTTGACATTATGGTCAAACATCATTCTAGCTGTTTCTGTGATGAGAGTAACACTTAAATTGGTAGGCTTAGAGTAAAGTAGTTTATCCTCCCTCGTGTGGATGGATCACATCCAGTCTTTTGAAGGCCTTAATAGACTTTTGCTCATCTTACTTAAATGTTTGTTATGAAAATGTTGAGTATACATATGGTCCATACATCCAGGCTCAACAATTATTAATATTTGCTTTATTTACTTTCCCTCTGTGATACTCTCTTGCTTTCTGGTTACAGACAGACACATGTTCGTCATTATTGTTATGTTGAACTATTTCACTATTATTTGCACACATTTCATCCCTAAATCCTTTGACACTCATCTCTTCAAAAAAGATTCTACTTAATTGTGGTGTCATTAAGATTCCTAAGAAAAACTGTCAAAAATTCCATAATGTAGTCCATATTCATATCTCTGCAAATATTCCAAGAACATCATGTGCAGATTTCCCCGCAACTGACCCAGAAGGCAATCAAGATTTATTTATTGCACTTGGCATATCTATTCAACCTCTTTTCATCCATTCTATTGACACATATCCTATGATATTGACATTTTGAAGAGCCTAGGGCAATTTTCTTATAAAATGTCTAGGATTCTGGATTTTTTGTGTTTTTTTCAGGTTGTTTAACATGTGCCTTTATCCCATGAATTTCTTCAAAACTGAAATTAGGTCTGGCTTGATCAGAAAGTTGAAAAAATTCCTACTGGAAGCACCTGATGCCATATTGTCCCACTATTAGTGATGCTTTAGTAATGATAGACAGATCTCTCCATTTTAAGGCTGTTTCTTTTTTCTTTTGCAGTTACTAAGTGATAGTTGGGTTTAACCATTTTAATTCTACTTTATTGCACAAAAGACATCTAAAAAGGGAGAGCGGTGGAGCAGCATAATGACATCAGTATCTAAGATATTGCCATTGAAATAAATTCAAACATACATCATATGGGGGAAAAGAATGTGTCACATAGCTTTGAAATCATTCCAAACACTTACATAATTTGCAACACGGTGAATCTGTCTTGGGACTGTGTTTTCATTCTATTTTGATGTTTTGTTTAAAAATGGACATCTTAGCTTTGCTCATTGGCAGTATTGTAGCCAATGAAGTTTATCTGAGGCACAATTATTGCTAAAAATGGACATCTTATCAGATCCCTTCTGTGAGAACTTGGAGTGAACTCCCCCTCTACTTTGAGAATGTGACTTAACTCCCACTTTCCTTGGGAGAATTTACAACAAACCTCACTGAACCACCCATATGTGAATTACTGGCTCCAATAACTAGATTTCAAAATACATACAAACTCAAGGGTTTGAGTATTGGGCCAAGGCAGGGCTGCATTCTGCCAGCCATTTATCAGCAAGTATTGAGTTCAGGGTTTGGCACACCTTGGATATTTAAGACTTCATTTGCCAACATTTGCATTGTTACTGGGTTTTGGGGGTGCTGGAGGTTGTTTCTAGGTTCTTTCTGTCCTGAACAAAGAATTGGTCAAGACAAGCACAAATGGTAGCTAATTATTATTAAAGGTAGGAAAAGAAAAGGGCTCTGCAAAGCCAGTTTCCTACAAATAAAAGTAGGATGACCGGGCATGGTGGCACACCCACTCAGGAGGCTGAGGCAGGAGAATCACTGTGAGTTCGAGACCAGCCTGGGCTACATAGTGAGTTACAGGTCAGTCTCAACTGCATAGTGAGACCCTGTCTCAAAAAACCATACAAATAAAAGTAGGAAAAGAAGTACACCCTACAGCCTGACAGTGGGCCAACATGCAAGAGAGAACACAGTGGCAAAAACTGAATATAGACTGTCTTTTTTTTTTAACCCACATCTCAGGCTGAGGTCAGATCTAGGCCATCCTATAGAAAACCTGCTCCAATTCCTGTTGTCCATGTATTACAATTTATTGACTTGTTCATGCATATAAACTGGGTCCATTTTGTTGCTGCTGTACATTAAATGGTGACCAATGTTTTTACCAAAGAATTGAACAAAAATATCTTTTAAGAAATTTGGAATGTGGTTTTGATTTTAACATTAGAATTTTTAACTAATCTCAGTGGGTCTTGCTTATTCTGTTGCTAAAGGAAATTAGGGTTAATAAATACAGATTTGTTACCAACACACACACACACACACACACACACACACACAAAACCTGCTCCAGTTCTCACAAGAAGTCCATGTGCAGGGCTTTGGGAACTGTTATGCTCTTGGACACTGGGATTTTGTAATTAACAAGTCAGCTTACTTCCCCAGCCAGCTTTGTCATGCACTGCTCTCCTGTCTTTCTAAGCATCATTTCCTAGCATGGAATAACTTTGTCTGTCATGTTGTCCTAAATTCCCCCCGTGGTGGTCAAGCCAGCTTCTTCAAAGACTGATCAAATAAACCTACACCTCAAATTCCAACTAGACTTTTCTTTCCACCAATGCTTGCATGTAGCTAATTGAGCAACAATTTTGAAACTTATTCACTTTGTGGCTAATGTGCCCAATCTATCAAGTATTTGCACTCTCTGTGAGGCTGTTCACGTTATTCTCTACTTCTTTGGCCATTGTAGTCCGAAGAAAAAAAACTTTAATAAAACCATATGATTCACAAAATCATACTTTGATCAACTTATTTCCACCATACCCAACAGAAAATTAGTTGGAAGTTACCCCAGAAATAAAACTG